TAATCTTCTTTATTTTCGTTTTAGGCAAATTCGTTTCGGCGAAATACAGTGCTATCAATTATTTGCAATATACCAAGCGGTAACTAATGTACGATTAAAAAGACTCTTAGTGCTAATATCAGTTAAAATACATGTATTTTTACTAGTAACAATTTCAAAATTATTAAAATATTCTACATTTTATGCATTTACGGGCCGGACTTAATAACTTCGCGGGCCGGCTATTGCCCATGCCTCATCTACAGTATGAATGTCGAAGTTAGCATAGACTGCAGCCTATAGCGAAACTTTGCAGTAGTCAATGTGAGAACGACATTTTTACAACTTTGAAAATGTAATACGTAAGCTATATTTTTTAATTAAGCACTAAATCTGATTAATTAATTAAATTTAAATTAAAATACATAAATATAAAAAACTTAAAAATTAAAATACTTCTTGAAAATTGTATGCAAGTTTAATGAGAAATGTTCGTCTTATTACACCAACAGATATATCACTAAATCTACTAATTTACTAATACATAACTGAAGCAAATATTTTAAATTACAAACTCTCATGGTGGAATTAGGTTTTTGGATTATGATTTCTACATGGAAATTAAAAAGATAAATTCAAATTCTAGATACAGACAAGAAATGTACATAAAATTATCACTAAATATACCTATAAATCACTTACAAATTACGAATGTTATGATTAATAAGTAGCATACTTACTGAGCTTATCGTTTTCTATAATATAGTTCTTCATTGTCTATAAATTTGTCTTCTATCACGCACTGCGGTAGTTTAAGCCTGAATTATCATAATTTAGCTATTTGTAACACTTAGGGTAATTACAATATTATCTAGGAAATTCGACTAACGAAATATTACCGACAACATTCATTTCGACGAAATCTAAGGGCGCATATTATTCAGTGCCATCTTTCGAAGAGGAATTAGCACTTACGTTAAGAATAGTTCTCAAATTCACATCTGACGATTGTGAGAGAGTATTTTCCAAACAAAACCTTCTTTCTACACACGAACGCAGAGAACATAATAGGTATTACCACATGAATCCACAGGATATGGTAAAAGTTACATCTACAATATGAAGGAGTACTCATTATGTAAGTTTAGTTCTTTAGTGCAAATTAGACAATACAGTTTAACTGTCTAGATTTTTCTTCATTACTGAAAATGCTAATTTGTAATCAATCAGTTTCTCCATTAAACTATGAAATTCTTTCCTTGGAGGAGAAAGTTGACTATTGGTGAGAACTTCTGGTTTAGATTCATTTATTTCACATTGTTATGTATTAATTGTTATTATTTTCGAGCTTTAAGTTATTTGCTTACTTAATTCAGTTTTTATCAGTAATTAAAGTTATTAATTTTCTTGCTTTAGTTTCTTTGAAGTTGGTTGTAAGTTTTAAGCTGTAAACTTTTGGTAAACTTTTAATTTCAGTTGGAAGCTTTAAAAGTTTTCTTAAAGTAAAGTTGTCTGATTTTTAATTTGAGTTTAGGGACTTAAAGTTTTATTTGGTTTTATAAAGTTTGTTTTGATCCTTAAGATTATGTAACTTTTTAATTTATTTAAAAGCTTGTTAGTTACACATTTTTTGGTGTGTTAATTTTTTTTTTTTTTTAATTTAGAGTTTGGATAATGTCTACCCCTCTTTCTGCTAAATCCTTTTCAACCAATAATTTCTGGTTGTAAGGTGTTGAAGAAATATAATTTTTTAGTAATATTAATTAAGATTTTAATCAGCTTTTGTGTTAGTTGAATTTTAATATTTTTTAAGTAAAGTTAATTATGTTAGTCAATTTGTATAACTGTGGTAAATTTGGATAACTCAAAATAGGTCTCTTGGGTTGGATTCTGTGTTAAGGAGATTTTAATTTCATGTATTTCTTGAGTATTATCTATTTGAAAATAGAAATTATGAATTTACCTAATGGAAATTCATATGTTTTTGTACAGAAAATGTGTGCCTTTCTGGTGGAATTATAGGTTTTCGCTTAGCTTAATTGCTTGAGAAGTTATTCGTAATTAAACGTATATTTTTAGCAGAAATGGCGCAGATTTCCTGACTTCGAAATGTTCACTTAGAAGCGCAGTTTTTAAGCTTTCCAGAGCTGGGTTTTGACAGGTTATGAATGTTTACACCCACCCATTTCCGGAGGGGTGGGCCTTCCCGTGAAAAGGGTTAGTAGCCTTGGCATGTTTTTTGGCGAGAAAATTTAAAAGGTTGAATTATTCTTGGAAAAATTTAGAAACTTTTATATGGTTTGTTCTTGGAGTGGTTGCAGATTATTTTTCATCTTTTTTGGGGAGTTTTAGGGAATGTGGAAGTTTTCCGGTTTAAAAACTCTTGCGCGCCTGTGAGAGGCAGATTTCCCCAAAGAATATGTATTGTTGTTAAGAAGCAAAACTTTGCAGCAGCAGAAGTGGCTCCCTTCGAACGAAAAGGGAAACAACTGCGCATGCGTGAAATATCTGTCCCCCAAAAAGGCGCCAAAGTTCGAACAGGTTTGACGGTCACGTTTTTCAAGAGTTTAAAGCTGTGTGACTCCACTTTTTTCTCCCTCCATATTGACGGATATAAAATCGGACATCAAACTGCGATATGGATAATGCAAGTTCAACAGCCAGTGAAAGTGAAACTTCACCTAATATTTCATCACTTCCCAAGTAAGCTTTATTTCTAACTTTTTATCATTAAACTTAAAAAATTGGTGTAAATTGCTGAATGTAGTAAATAACATTTTTTTAGCGGTGGCTTTTTATTTCCATGTTGACCAAGCTAAATTTTATCTAAATATACGAATCATGTAAGTTCTATAAAGAGATTTTGTAAGGATTATGTTAATTTTATTAAGAGTTAAATTTGAAGTTAAAGTTCCTTTCCTGTCAAATTCTTAACTTCAACTTGCTACTTCCTTCCGGCCATAACTTACTTTTGGAAATCTTGCTGAATATTTAATGAGGAGGAGCGGTATTTAAAACCACGAAGTTACTTACTGAGTCAGAGAGAATCAGAGTTTCTGATTTATGCGCGTCTGCCTTTTTGGCCACACTCTCTCTCAAAGCTATTATTACGCACGGCCGTACTCAAGCCCTTGCTAAGCTTTGTAGTTAATTAAGTTAAGAGGCCAGCTCAATTTGAACCTTGATAGCTTCGGCTATACTTCTTTAGTTAATCTTAGTTTTAGTTTAATTCTTAGTCTTTTAATCATCTTTGGTTTTGCGCCAACAACAGTGTTTCACTCACTCACTCACTCTTAGTCTTTTAAGTTCAAGCCCAAGTGCGGGCTTTGCTTGTACACTCCCAGGCGGAGTTTTGTTAAATCTTATTGGAATAATAAAGGGGTAGTTACCCTTCTATCTTGTTGTTTCTTGTCACCGAACTCTAGCGATTATTCGCTTATCAGTTCTTAGATTCCTCACTTCCAACATTAACTTAGAATTCCAAAGTGAGGAACTCTACAATTTTCATACCCCACATTGCAGTAATAATATTTTTATTGCCAATACTTTTCAAATTTCTAAATGCTAGAATCTATGAACTAATAATTTTAATTAATAAAATGTAGAATATTTTTGTGGCCACATGTTTATTGAAAACGTCTAAACCCAAAGATAGAGGCATAAATATCGTATCGCTTTGTGATAAAAATGACAAGATGGATAACTTAAAGAATCTTTTTGTGAGTAAGAATAAAGTTGGTATTTTTTTTTTAGTTGCACAACATTGGCTGATATTTTTTAATGTAGCGTTATATCCAGGTTATATTATCTTGCTGGGGCAAGATGGTGCACAGCATGTAGGTGGCCAAAATTAAGGGCAACAAAATGATAATCAAACATATCTCTGTAAAAAAGGGCAGCCAGTTTTAATTTGCACGTCAGTTTAGAATCGGCACTGGTTCTATCACATTGTACTTAAAAATCTATAAACTAGTATTTCACTACAGTAACCCAATAAAGAAAATCACAAGGCATAGAGCTATTCATAAAATAAAAAACAGCTCATAAATAAATAAAAGCTGTGTCAGTAATGATAAGTAATTTAAGAATTAACAGAAAAGTCTTCCAGAAATACTCAACACTGTAAAATTGTTAACTTATTAAATTGCAAATTTGTACTGTGAAGGATTATGTATTATGTTATATTTAAATGAAGTATTTTTTATATTTATTCTTATTAGATGATGAAATTCGGAAGACCGTGGAAGTAGTAGATACTGAAACAATGTCATTGACTCGAATAGAAAAAACAGATAAGACTGGAAGTCAAGAACTGCCATCTGTAAATAATGAGGACCAAGAGAAAGAAGCATTTAAAACGCCAGATACACACTCCAAAGAGCTTAAAAATAAAGAGGCTAACGAGCCAAGTATCGTACTTGAAAAAAAAGTATTGCCGCGGCAAGAATTCTATAGCAGATATACTTAAGGTGATTCAAGCAATGCTCAGTCCTGTAATTTACAGTTTTATTAAAGGGCAATTGAAAGCATCATCAATATCAAAATATGGACGACGATGGTCGCTGAAGGACAAAAACTTATGCCTTCAGATCTATTTGAGTAGTCCTAAAGCATATGATACTTTAAAGGCTTTTTTTAAACTTGTAGTAGGTAATTTGTAATGTAGGCCAAGTAAGCCTACATTACGTAAAACTATTTCTGCCATTTATCTGGAACCTGGCTTTTCAGCTGCTGTACTTCAGGCTTCGAGGTTAATTGTCAGTAAGCTGAAATGCCAAGACAAATACTGCATTCTGTCTTTCGATGAGATGACTCTAAAACGTGGTCTCTCATATGATAAAAAAATGATCGTATTGTTGGATTTGAAGATTATGGCTCCTACACAAAACCCATTGTAATTCCCCAGCATGCAACTCATGCTCTTGTTTTTATGGTGCGTGGGCTGTGTAAAAAAGTAGAAACAGGTGTTTTTTTTTTTTTCCTTCTCACACCAAATTAAGTATATGTTATGTACTTTGGTTATGGAAGCCCTTTCAAAATTATTTGATTATTGTTTGACACCTGTGACTATTGTATGCAATGGCGAAGCTAATAATATGATGTGCTACACCAAAGCTATGAGAGTCACAAAAGAAAGACCATACATTATGTGCCAAGATAGAAAGGTGTTCACAGTTTTTGATGTGCCTCACCTGTTGAAATGCTTGAGAAACAACTTTATTAAATATGATGTAAAGTTTTTGAATGGTAAGGTTGCTAGTTGGGAGCACATAAAATCCTTGTGGGAATTTGATCGTCAAATGCCTCACCGAATTGCTCCAAAATTATCTGACCGCCATGTTAATGTAGAAGGCCTTAGTACTATGAATGTGAAACTGGCTGCACAAGTCTTCAGCCATTCTGTGACTGTTCGGTTGTGCTTCTTGAGTGCAGTGGGTCGTCTGCCAGCATCGGCTAGTCACACAGCTGATTTTTGTTCAAACGTCAAAAAGTTATTTGACAGTTTGAATAGTAGAAAAATTAATCATAATAACCCTTTCCTTTCAGCTGTAAGTAAGAATTCTATTCATATGGAGACTTGGGTACAAATGCTAGATTTAATTAAGTCAATTGAATTCCAAACAAAAAAGAAAATATCCTTTCCCAGTTTATTTGGATGGAGATTGACTCTTTCTGCATTCCAGCATTTAATCCTTATTCTTCTAGAGAATGTTCCTTTTATTTGATGTGTCGCTTCACCCAGAACGCCTTAAAAAATTTTTCTCTGTTGTCAGACGCAGAGGCGGGAATAATGACCATCCTACTGCATATGATTTTCAACAGAGAATGAGATTTCTAATGGCACAGAATGTAATTAGCATAAGCAGGTTATCAAACTGTGAACCTGATCATGATACAGTTTTGATACCTGCTGAGGTGCTTATAGTTAACAAGAACTCTGAGCCCTTGTTTGGCAATGAAGGAAATGAACTGGAAATTGATTTTGATGACCCTTTGCTTTCATTAACTGAGACTGCAGGTAATGCTGTAGATATTCCTATTGCCGGTGCAGTACATGATGTATTTGAGCAAAATTCTTCAGCCTATGTTGCTGGGTATACAGCTAAGCGGGCATTAAAACAGTTTTCTTTGTGCCTGTTGTGCAAAAGTGTTCTCGTTTCAAATCAATATTTAGACACGCACACCTATTTTTTGCATTTCAAAGAGTATGATTTTATGAAAGAGGGATTGTGTTACCCCTCCCATCAGTTTACTTTATTTGTGTGTGAGGTGGGTAAAAGGTTCAAAACTGTGTTTGAGAAAATATGTAATCATAAAAATGTGAAAACCAAAATTATATCCGAGCTGAAAACTATCTGATCATGATTGGCTTAAATGCCATCTTCATGCCTTTCAGTTGTGGGAACATATTGTCAACTCATATGTGCAACTTCTTTTATATTTAAAAATCAAGGAAACTAATAAAGTTTTATCAAGTGTGAAAAAAAGCCCCAAAAAATTTTAAAAAACTTAACTAATCATTTTATATGTGTTTCATTTATATGTATTGGTGTTTATTATATTATTATTGTTTATTATATATTTATATTATTGTTTATTATATTATTATTATCATTTTGATATGTAATTATTGTTTTATAGTTGCCAACTCTCCCAGTTTTTTTGACACGTGCCATGATAGATCATTGAATATGCACGTTTATAAAATTAATTAAACTTAAAATCGTATAAATTACATTCCCCCACAACTAGAGAAGTTCTGGATACTTTTTCCTATTCAATTTTATTTATATTTTTCAGTTTTATAGTTAATGTTAATTATGCATTATGAAGTGAATTCAAGTCAGATTTCAAGGTTGGCAGCTATACTGTTTGTGTATGAATATTTTTTTAAAGAAATTGTCAGTAAAACTTATTATAGTTTATTTATAAAAATAAATATGATTTGATGTACTGTATTTTTTTTATTTTCAAAGTTATAAATAAAATGTTTGTTTGCTGAGAGTACAGTTGGAGATTTTGTATTTTTAATGGGAATCATCTAGCATAATAACTACTTTTTCTAAGGCAGCCACAACTTTATCAGCTATCCAATATATATACAGTGGCTCAAAAAGTGTTCGTACACGTAAGAGTTTCAGTGAAATATTGCTTTATTTATTAATGAAAATTAATATTTTTGAATGAGAATGTTTTAATAATATCTATATATTTTTAGAAAAATCAGTAATCAAAAATTAGCAGAAAAGTTACCCTGCAAAAGTCTTTGTACTCTTGAAAGAAATCTATACCTATTAGTAAATATTGTAGTATTTAGTATGTTACTATATTGAAGGATATCCTGCAGCACTAACGACAGCTTCTACTCCTTACATTTTCAATTTTAGAAAGTGAAAACATGTCATTATTGAAAAAAAGAAATGTTTGGTTTTACTCAAAATTGTATGAAGATGATATGAAAAAAATTGGGCTTTATATTCCAATTCAATTCCAGGCTACACCACTTTTTCTACAAATTCTTAGTGTCCAAACACTTTTAGGAGTCACTGTATGCACACAATCTTAATGCACATGTATATATATTGTTACGAAATGTAGAGGCACGGTAAGATGGCTCCCCGCAAAGCAGTTTTAGGGTTTCCATAAAATGGCAAAGGAAGGCAGGGTTGCCACATTTAGCGAGAACTCGCCCTTTTGGCGATAATTGGCGATATGCCGTGGACGGATGGAGAACCTTCTGGAACGAGTTCTTACCGGTTTAGCCAAGAATGTTCTCGAACAGAAGCCGAAAGGTATATAAACCCTGCTGGTCCGCAGTCAGTTTAGTTTTACCTCGTCGAGAGGGCGAGTGAGAGTGCCTCGTCTAGAGTGCGAGATAGTCAGTATCGAGTTGGTATCTCGTCTAGCCAGTCAATCCCTGCGGAGTCGATCTAGTTGACAGCCGGGCAGCGAGTACCGAGTGGGTCGTCGAGTTCACCGAAGGAGTCTGTTAGTGTATCGCGGTTAGTGCATCGTCGAGAGAGCGTGTTAAGCTCCGGGAACGACTGAACCGAAGACTCGGGAGCTATACTCTTGTGTATCGTCGAGTGCATCGCGTGGAGAGTCTTCAGAGTACGTGGACTTCCGAGAACGACCAAGCAGAGTTGGGAACAGTACTCGGGTGCTTTGCGGAGAAGCTGTCTCCACCGTTATCGCCTGACAGTGTGAAGGCTGTGTCGCTGAACGTGTCAGCTTGTTTATAACAGTTGGACGACTGTAAAAGTGATTTTGGAGCTATGTGATTAATACTGGTAAAAGTGTGTTTCGATACTTCATCAAGTGTCGTCGTTATTCACTCCAAATCTACAAACCCCATACGAACGTGAAGGAAAAAAATAACGCAACTACTGGTGCCAGAAAAAGAAAAACGCAACAACTGGTGTCAGAAGTGGGATTTGCGAGTGAATGCCAGTTACCCACCTGCAGAGGAAAGCCATGACGGAAGAAACGAAGAATTTGATGGACTTCTTAGCCGAAATGAGAGCTGAAATGAAAGTCGGACTGGCTGAGATAAAAGCAGGATATCAAGAGATAAAAGCTAGATATAAAGAGATGACAGCTGAGATCAAAGCTGGACTGAAGGAGATGAATGCCGGACCGGAAGAGAAGAAAGCCCGACGAGAAGAAATAAATGGCGGCCAAGAAAAGGTACAATAGCAACTCCAACAGGTGAAAGTGGAGCTTACAGAAGAAACTGGAGCCATAAAAGACGATGTGGATATGAGAGAAGTGTCTTCTGAAGAATCAAAGGATGAAAAAATGAAGGAAGTAGCTAATGAACTGCCTGAGAAAGACCAAGAAATGATGGATGAAACATCTAATGGGATTAAAGGAAAACAAGGAAAACATGAAGAAATAAAAGAAGGGGAAGAAGCTTTTGATTCACAAGTGCCTGAAGTGGAAGAAAGAGAAAATGCGACTGTTAAGTTCGTCAAAAATAATAGTGAGGTTGCGAAGTCGCAGTTAGCAAGTATTGAACCATCTGAAAGTTCATGTGATGCAGAGATGGAGGAAGCTGATGTGCAGCTTAAGAACTGTGCTCCAGTATTGCAAGAAAATATTCACCCACCTCACAAACTGTGTGTATGCCTCATAGTGCAGGTTTTGCAGACAAGGACTTGATTTTGATTCTAAGCCAGGATACATGCGTTTGTAAGGTATCGGGCTCCGTTCATGACTCTGATGCAGAATTTGAAGTTGTTTCCCAGGAAACGGAGGAAAATGTGCATGTACCAGCTGCTGAAAATACCGATGTGAACTCTGTACACATGATGCGAACAAACTACAGAGTGGTGAAAAAACTGTTTTAGATCTTACTATGGATGAAAAGTCTGAAAGAACTGCATCTTCAGACTGTGATATGCAAAATAAAAATGCGTCTGAGAACTGCAGTGGAAAAGTATTTGACCAGGATATAAATTAAGACTGAAATTCATTCAGAACTTTAATTTGTAAAATTTAAAATTCTTATGTGTTTAATTTGTGTGTATAACTTGTACATAGCGTAAATATTTGGTTTTTTTGGTTATGTTACCTGTATGTTTTAAAACGTTTTGTTTGTATCGAATTTGGCTTCTGACCAAGGGTTGTACTGTCTGGGACGTGCAATCCTTGGGAGGGGGCATTGTTACGAAATGTAGAGGCGCGGTAAGATGGCTCCCCGCAAAGCAATTTTAGGGTTGCCATAAAATGCCAAGGGAAGGCAGGGTTGCCATATTTGGCGACAAAATTGGCGATATGCCATGGACGGATGGAGAACCTTCTGGAACGAATTCTTACCAGTTTAGCCCAGAATGTTCTCGAGCACAAGCCGAAAGCTATATACACCCTGCTGGTCCGCAGTCAGCTTAGTTTTACCTCGTCGAGAGGGCGAGTGAAAGTGCTTCGTCTAGAGTGCGAGATAGTCAGTATCGAGTTGGTATCTCGTCTAGCCAGTCAATCCAATATATTAAATATTAAAGTATAAATGGTTGACATTACATATAATTGCAGTAATAATATTTCTGAGAATCTTTTCAAGGTCTGCATAATATATGAAACGAGGCATTCAAAAGTTAATGTATAACTATATATATATGTATACATATAGAAAAAAGATATGCAAAGAGGGAATGTGAGATAAGGTATGGTAGTTTTTGGTATTTCATCTATAACTTCAGCATTGCTCAAAAAAGTTTTGTAAGTCTGCCTGAAATGTTAAAAGTAACATCTGTGAGAAAACATTTATGTAGAGTTATATAAAAAGAGGGAAGATTTTGTTATATATATAAATATGCACAGAATTTAAAGAAATATATATAATATTTAATTGTATCAAAACTTAATTTACTCTAAAATTTGGAGGTTTTATTATTTACTTAATATTAGGTAATTTGGTATGTTCTATAACTTGAAATATTTAAAGAAACAGTGCGAATCGTGAAAAAATCACCTTCAGTATATTTAAAAACACTGACAAATTTATAAAATAATCTGAAATTACTATAAAAGATTTTTCTTATATGAAATTATCTGAGTGCATATTAGTTACAATATTATTAACGCGAATATCGTTTTGTGTAAAGTTAAAGAAAATATTTTTTCTTTTCGCAATTAAATTACTTATTTTGAGCAAAATAATAATAATAAATAAATAGGAATAAATAAATAAAGCACGAAAATCCGAGTTTAAATTATCGCGAAAAGTCAAAGAAACGTTTTGTCAAAAAACGATTCATCTTAACCAGTGTTCCTCAATTTCCTATATACGTCGCGAAGGAAGAAAATCTCGGCCAGGTCCAGTACATTACAGAGGGGGAAATTCTCGCCAACAGGTTCCGTCGCCAAATCCCTTTGGCGAATGTTCCTTCTTCTTTCTAGCGGCGCAGAAGGCAAACTGGTTTACATTACGTCTATGGAACCTTTCCTTCTTTACATAGACATTCTTTGGATTTTCCCGCAGATTTATCGCACGAAAATTTCTGAGACGGAGGAGTGCAGAAGACGAGAAGAAATATTACTGCGAATTTGGTTACGCTCTCACCGGTTCCAGCGTAATGTAACTCCAGCTTAGGGAGTTCATCACCGAGAATTTTGTTTCGACCTCTTCAGATTGCCAGGATGGAGCTTATTGCCTCGAATCATCTGTAACCTATAGAAAATTCTCTGCGCGAAGTCCAGTGAAGTTCGCCGAAGTGTCACCCCCGCGAAGTAGGCTTGGATGGACGAAGCCTAAAATTTCTGATGTTTCCTCCAGTGCAACGGCCGTGCAAGAGATTGCCGGCTTGGATGGTCAGCGAGATACCCGTCGTCGAATGCAGCTGATCTGAGCGTCCTGTTTC